TGTGCATGGCAAAGTGCTAATGAACCCATACCTTTCTCTTTAAAATATCGAGTTTTTATATAACTTCTACTATATAATTTTCACGAAATATGAATAAGAGGAAATTAATTTTTCCGAATTTATTGCTAAGGGTTTTTCTCCCGGAATTGCCTCCTTCTAACCACTATAACTTTCTTTCCTTTCTATATCGTGTCTATCATAGTGGGCCATGCGGTCCTCTTATCTTTATATAATTGTATAATTATTATTATATTATAATAATGCAGCTTATATTAATATTCAGTGGTGATTTGGGTTAAAAGCGAAATGTCCATGCTAAAGAGCTATTATGTAAACATTGACATCCCTCTAACGACATTAATAAGAAATTTGCATGATGTCGTCGTAATTTTACTAAAACTTTCAGAAAGCCTTGCSCATTTTCTTTAATATTCAGATTTTTAATCTCTTTGGAGATTAGTAAAACAATTGTGACTWATTACTTTAAAGCGAATTAGTGGGCAAAGCATTCTGGTAGTTGTAGTATACGACTCCATTAGAGTCCCATACGGAACCGTGCAGTACGGGGAAGCATGGAAATTAGTCAACCGGGTGACTGGACGTAAGAGAGCAAAATAAGGCCAGATCTTGGGCAATAGCCTTGACGAACGAGTAACAACATGGTTTACCCACTTCCAGAAGCTTCTGGGGGAACCCCCTACAGTAGAAGACCCGGAAGAGGAGATACCAACTATCTATGCAGACCTTAAAATCAACGATGAGCCCTTCACTGACTCTCGACGAATTCAGATGGGTTTAATTCATTTGGGGTTTGAGTAATATATTTGTATTGCTTGAAGTTTTGAAATAAGGCCATTTTCATGCAAGTAGCACTTTAAGGCTTCCCCGAAATTAGGGAAAGCGGCTGGGCCAGACAACATCCCCCCCCCCCCCCCCCGAGGTCCTCAAATCATGTGACTTTGATGAGATCTGCCAAATGGAGTGCGACAAGCCTGACCTGTGGTCCCTCATGAACATCATCCCTGTCCCAAAGTCYGGTGACCTGTCCAACACTAACAACTATCGAGGCATAAGTCTGATGTGCATTCTAGCAAAGATGTTTAATAAGTTGATACTCAACCGAATGCGCAGCGCCATCAACCCTAAGCTACGCACGAACCAGAATGGCTTCCGTCCCGAACGCACTACAGTTGCGCAGATTCTCACACTTCGAAGGATAATTGAAGGGGTGAAGGCCAACAACCTTCCAGCCATTATCACCTTCATTGACTTCAAAAAAACGTTTGACTCCATCCACAGAGCGAAAATGATGCGTATCCTAAAGGCCTATGGCATTCCTCCTAACCTGTTAAGAGCAATTGAATCAATGTATACAAACACGAGGGCCAGAGTTTCAACACCTGACGGAGAGAAAAAGCAATTTAACATCTCTGCCGAAGTCCTCCAAGGAGACACACTTGCACCATTCCTATATATCATCGTGCTTGACCATGCTATGAGGAAAGCATTGTCGGACGGGAAGGAAGAGGAACTAGGTTTCACTATAACTCCCCGCAGATCGAGAAGATACCCAAAAGTCGTTCTTGCTGACCTCGATTTCGCAAATGATATTGCTCTTCCGTCTGATGCCATCATGCAAGCCCAAGAGCTCCTCCTCAGAGTTGAGACAGAATACAGCAAAGTAGGGCTTGGATTGAATGGTCCTAAAACAAAGTACCTGGCTTACAATATAGACGTACACACTCCACTAGTAACCAGATCAGGAACTGTGTTGGAGCAAAAAGACGATTTCAAATATCTTTTGTCTCCTGGGTTGATAAGTCGATGAAAGACATCAATATCAGAAAAGCACTAGCCTGGAAAGCCCTCAACGACATGAGCAACATCTGGAAGTCCACTATGAATCCAGTCTTGAAAAAAACGATTCTTTGTTGCCAGAGTTGAGTCAATCTTGCTGTATGGATGTGAAAGCTGGGCCATGACGGAGACTAAGGTGGAAATCACTCAGTGGTGCCTATACCCGTATGCTGAGGAAAGCCCTGAATGTGCACTGGAGCTCCCGCACTACTAATGATG